CTCATCGAGACCGCGGGCGGTCCAGGCGGCCATGTCCTGCCAGTCCTTGGGATCGTACTCATGCGGCAGGCTGTCATCTCCGAGTAGGCGCGGCTCGACTCCAAACAGCAAGTAGAACGGCGAGTAGCCCGTGACCTCGTGGCGCCGCGTGCGCAGCGCGAGCAGAGCCTGTGGCACGTACTTGTCCCAGCGCTCGGGCGATCCGGCGCACAGCTTGGTGAGAATGGCGTTCAGCGACCGGTGCATGCGCTCGACGGCTCCATTCGTGCGCGGATGGTACGGCGTCGACGGCAGGTGGTTGGTCGCTTGCAGCTTGAGATACTCGCGCAGACCGTCGTTGGTGAACACGTTCGCGCGATCCGTGATAATCTCGCGTGGTGCACCAAACTGGCACAGGATCTCCTCGTAGATGAACTTGGCGGCGGTCGTGGCGTCGCGGTTGGGATACGCCTTGGCCACCACCCAGCGTGTGGCGTAGTCGATCGCGGTGAACAGCTGCGTGTTGCCGTCGGCCGTCGCAGGCAGATCCTGCACAATATCCACCCCCCACCTCTCAAAGGGCAGCGCGGCGGGCTCGAGCGGATGCAGCGGGTTGCGAACCGACGGCGCTGGCGTCTCGTGCAGCTGACAGACCGAGCAGCGGCGCACAAACTCGATCAGCTCAGCCTCCATGTTGGGCCACCAGTAGCGCGTCTGCAGCACGCCATACAGCGAGGCGGCTCCCATGTGGCCGAGCGTGCGGTGGAACTTGTCCATGATGGCGTCGCGCTCCGTAGACACAATGAATGGCACCACAAACTCCTTGCCGTTGACCATGACCCGTCGCTGCAGAGTGTCGTCGCGCAGCACAAACAGGCGGTTCTGCTGCGAGATCAGAGCAGTGTGGCGCGGCGACAGACCAGGCGGCACCGTGTTGTTGAGCTTGAACTGGAGCGCGTGCATCGGCCAATCGCGCTCTGGATCCAGCTGCGGCGGTGCGGCTGGTGCGGCTTCCAGTGGGTGCAGCTGAACAGCGTCAGCGCGAATGCCATACGGGTCAGCATCGATGATCGGAACCGCGGGCTCGGGCAGGTCGGTGCGGCGGGACGGCGCGTCTGCAGGCTGCCACTTGCCAGGCGTGTACTCCAGCGACGGCCCGTAGTGCTCAAACTCCAGCTGCCAACCCCACTGCCGTGGCCCAGGTCGATCCAACCCCTTCAGCCACGTCAGCGGCTGGTGATCCGTGTGCACAATCGTGCGGACGCCATCCACATAACAGCGCCAAGTGCGCAGCGCGTGAATCACAGCCATCGCCTCGCGCTCGGTCGCCGAGTAGTTGCGTTCCGCCGGCGACAGCTTGTGCGACAAGAACGCGATCGGCTGGTGGCCCTTGCCGTGATCCTGCGAGAGCACGCCGCCGACGGCGTCCTGGCTGGCATCCGTCCATACGTGCATTGGCTTGCTGAAGTCTGGCGCGGCGCAGACGGGCGCCGAGACGAGCGCGTCCTTGAGCGCCTGGAACGCCGCCATCTCGTCCGGGCCCATGGCGAACGGCACGTCCTTGCGTGTAAGGCGGTTGAGCGGGATGGCGATGCGGCCGTAGTCGCGGACAAAGCGGCGGTAATAGTTGCAAAGCCCCATGAACGACTGCAACTGTACCAACTCCTTAGGCACTGGCCAGCTGGCAATCGCCTCCAGCTTGCGCGGATCCGGCCGAATGCCCGCGGCTGAGACCAGGTGGCCGCAGTATTCGACCTCGTCGAGGCCGAACCGGCACTTCTTGGCATTGGCGACCAGTCCGTACTTGGCCAGCCGCTCGAACACCGCCCGGACGCGCTCCTGCAGCTGTTGGTCATCAGCCGCATACACAAGGATGTCATCGAGATACACAACGCAAATGCTATCGACCAAACCCTCCAGCACACGATTCATCATGCGCTGGTAGGTGGCCGGCGCATTTCTCAGCCCAAATGGCATAGCCAAGTACTCAAACTGTCCATACCGCGTGTTGAATGCAGTGTATTGGACTGAGTCTTCAGCCATGGGCACCTGCTGGTAGCCAGACTGCATGTCCAGCACCGCAAAGCGCCGCATGCCATACAACCGATCCAGGTTGTCATCAATGCGCGGCAAACCCGTCGCATCGGCTTTGGTCTGCTGGTTCAGTGCGCGATAATCCACGCACATCCGCAGAGTGCCGTCCTTCTTTTTGACAAAGAGGATCGGCAGCGACCATGGGCTGCTACTGGGGCGGATGACGCCAGCCTCCAGCAGTGCGATCAGCTGCTTGCGCACCTCATCGAGCTCTCGCGGGCTCATGCGGTACGCCTGCCGCTTGACCGGCGTGCTGTCCAACAGCTCAATCCGGTGCATGCCATGCTCACCCAGCTGTGCAAGCTCTTTAGAGATTTTGAGCTTGCTACCAGCGGGCGGGAGGACGCCAGGGAACTCCCTGCGCAAGGTCTCGACCCACTCGGGGAACGATCCATCCTCCTCCGGAGTGGCGGCGAGCTCGAACAGGCTGACAGCCCACTCGATCTCGCCGCGCTTGTTGGCCCGCTTGAACTGATCATACGACATCAGTTCAACGGCGCTGGCGGCGAGCGACGCAGGCGGCGAGCTGGCCTTGGCGTCAGCCATGGCGACTGGTCCACGCGGCGTGTTGGCACACAGTTGCCCGTCACGCCCGAACCGCCACTCGGCCCGGACCGCCTCGAGCCACGGCAGGCCCAGCACCAAGTCGTGGTGCTCGTCGATGGGTGCCACGAATGCATCCAGCCGACCCAGCGACTGACCGTCGGGCGTCTGCAGCTCAAACACGCACGCCTTGGACAGCGTGATGTCGTCCGAGCCGTCGCCGAGGCGTAGCGGTACGCCGCGTGGCAGCTGGTGTGTCTCGACCAGACCCTTGGCGACCAGCTGCTGGTACAGACGCAGACCGACGAAGTTGGCACCAGCGCCTGAGTCGCCCAATGCTGTGGCAGATACAGATCCGATGGCCACCGAGAATCGACGGAGCGGGCGAGCCGATGGCGCGAAATCCAGCTTGAAAAACGACGCGCCAGATCTGCCCGCCACCACATCGGCGAATGAGCGCTTGGGCATGGGCATTGGCGGAGCAGGCGGGGCGGGCGGAGCAGGCGTCACAGGCTCCGCAGCAGGCACGGGTGGTGCAGGCAGCACCGGCGGGGCAGGCTTCATGGCGGGAGGGCTGCTAGATGGAGGTACCGGACGTGGCGATGGTTGTGTAGGAAGACTGCTTTCATTCCATACACGCTCATCACCACGCCGGCACCGTCAGTGCTGGGCGGGGCCCTCGGCAGACGGGCCGGCGGTGTTGGGGCCTGCGGCAGGGGTCGGGGCAGCAGGCACAACGCCAAGCCCGCGCAGGGCTGCGACCAGATCGGCCATGTTCACCGAGTGCAACTGCGCAGGGCGACGGTTTGGGAAACGGAACGTCGACCGGCAGTGTGGACGGTGCTGGCCCACGCCATGGCAGGTGAAACAGGTGTTGCGATCCTCAGCCGACTGGCGGTGACGTGGTCGGCTGGCTGGCATAAACGATGACAATGACGATGACGATGACGATGACGACGCCACAGGGTTGGCTTGGTGGAACACGACGCCTTCCATCGGGGTGGCGCCAGTCGCGCCTCGAGACGCCACCGAAGGGAGCGGGCCGCCGCGGAAGATGTCGTCCAGACCGCGGACGAACTCGCAGAGCTCTGGGAACGACATTGCGGCACGGCGCAGCTCACGACGCACCTCGATGGCGTAGGACTCCGAGAGGCCGCGCACCATCGTATCGGTGAGGAACTCGTCGTTGGCGGCGATGTCGAGGCCGCTTGCGAGGGACTCGAAGCGCGAAACGTAGGTGGTGCCAGTGGCGTTGCCCTGCGACACTTTGACGAGGACGTCCTTGATGCGGCTGAGCGCGGCAGCCGGCAGGAACGTGGCGCGGAAATCGGCGAGAAACTCCGCGCGGCGGACGCCACCAAAGCGGCTGACGTGGCGCACCAGCCACTGGCCCGCGGCGCCAATGAGCGCCGGGTGCAGAAGCGCCTCGAGCTCGTCCTCGCTCGCATGCGCGTACAACTTGAAGAACTGCTCCAGGCGTCGTTGGAAGTCTGTGGCCGCCTCGAGTTGGTTTGCCACACCGGCGAAAGTCCCGAGCGTGAACTTGCGTCGGACCTCGCGGCTCACGTCGTCCGCTGGACGGCCCGGGGCGGCTGTCGACGGACCGGCTTGTGGCGGGGCGACCGGCAGCGGCGCGACCGGCGGCTGATACATGGTGGCTCCAAACTCGGCGGCCGCGGCGATGATACTAGCTGGCGCGGCGTCGGGCAGCCTCGTGGCACGCCAAGCGGCAGCGGCGACCGCTTGCAGAAACGCCGAGGGCGTGGCTCCGGCGACCATCGATGCGGTGGCCGCGACGGACTGGGCGCTGGCGTTCTGGGCTTGCGAGGCACCCAGCAGCGCGTTCACAATAAACGCAAGTTGCGTCTCCACTGGACTGTTGACTGAAACAGTCGCGGCATCGACCCTCGTGGTGGATGCGATCTCGTTGTCCACGCCAGCGGCTCCTCCTTGAGCGGCGGCGGCTCCTCTGCCAGCACCGGCCTGATTGCCCTGTGCGGCGTCCTGCGGGTTTCCTTCGCTACTGAACACTGTCATACTTTCCCAGTGCTACCAGTTGTAGCGGGCCAAGTCTGTGCAGTCGGTCAGATACGCTTCATTACACACACGTGGTAGCATTCAAGGCCGAACCTGTGCAGTCGGTCAGATACGCTTAGAGCCGACTGCACGCAGGGCAAGGCACGCTTTAAGTACGCGGCCTAACACACTCGACATGAGGCAACAGCCCGAAACAACTTGTGGCGTCTAGGCGCGCCCCAACTGTGGGTTGCGCCCCTCGGCCGAATGGCCGAGTCTCATGTCCAATCCTGAGACATCGAGAGGCGCATCCCCCTGGAGGCGATCCACCGAGCTAGGCGGCTGAGCCCGTAACAGCTTAAAGTGGAGTCCCCGTGGCCTAATGGATAAGGCGCCTGCCTCCTAAGCAGGCGATTCCGGGTTCGAGTCCCGGCTGGGATTTTTCCTTTTTGTTGCTTACACTACCTTTTGGCAAACCGATGGTGATGGCTGTCGGATCGACTCCTTTTGCCAGTTCGCCGTGCGTCGCTGCTGTGCGTCGCTCTTGCTGTCTTGTATCGCTGTCCTGCCTCGCTGCACTCTTGGTACCGGCATCGATCGTTGAAACGCCGCCGTGTCGGAGAAACAAAGTTTGCGCTGCATCCGGAATGCTGTTCGTTAGCCAGTCGCTGGTGGCCACCCTGGCTTGCACGCTCATTGCACTGTCGGCAGCCCCGCAGACGCAAGCCATTGCCGTCGGCGGCCGTGCCGTGCGCCAGGGGGTCGTCAAGCAGTACGACCTGCTCAAGCAGCAGCCGCAGGTGCTGAGCCTGCAGACGCTGCAGGAGGACCAAGGCGCCGCCGATGACCAGGCGATGGACGCTGCGCTGGCCAAGTTCATCCAGCAGGCGACGGAGGCGGCCAAGAGGCAAAAGAGTGGCGGCAAGGCCGGCAAGAAGAGCGACAGTGACAGTGAAAGCGACAGCGATGACGAGGAAGAGGCAGCGACGCTGCTGTCGCTGTTCCGCTCGAGCAGCAGCAAGGCCGCCAAGGCCGCCAAGAAAGCTAACAAGAAGGCCGACCGCAAGGGCAACAAGGGCAGCAGCAAGCCTGCGATGCTGCTGGCACACAGCTCCCGAGTCGCAGCGCAGGAGGCTGCCCAGCCCAAGTCCAGCGTCGGCGCACTTGGATGGTGGTGGTGGCAGACGCCTGCGACGCCTCCCGCTGCACCGGCACCACCGGCACCGGCACCGCCCGTGACACCGCCGGCACGCATTCCGACCACGCCACCGTCGTCGACGCTCGACTCGACCGTCAACTGCGGCCTCGACGGCGACGTGCTCACGCTCGAGTCGTTTGTGCTCAACCCGGACCCGCCCCAGCGCGGCGCGCCGCTCGCCTTTGCCCTCAACGGCACGCTGTCGGAGCCGCTTGTCGCTGGCGCCAAGGTGCGCGTGACGGTCAAGCTGGGCTTTATCCAGATCCTGGACTCGGAGTACGATCTGTGCGAGCAGGTCGGCGCCGTCGACCTCGAGTGCCCGGTGCCCGAGGGCCCGCTCGCGGTGCAAAAGGCGTTTGACATTCCCCGCGAGCTTCCTCCTGTAAGTTTGTTGTCGTTGTTTGTGTGCCAGCGCGAATAGGCTGCTGATCGCTGTCTCTGCCGCTGTCTGCCGCTGCCTGCCGTCTGCCGCTGTCTGCCTCTGTCTGCCTCGAAGGGCAAGTACAAGATCCACATTGACGTCAGCAACGCCGACACCAAGCACGTCGCCTGCCTGCAGTCCGAGTTCAGAATGTGATCAGCCAGTGGTCACGTGACTCGCAATGAATTGCCGCTTGCTCAACGAATCAACAATTTTTTTTTTTTTGGTGTTTGCTCTCTGACCCAGCGAGCGTTGACCGTTGCGACAATGGGACCTGCCGAGCCCAAGAAGAAGAAGGCCAAGGCGGCAGCAGCCGTCGCACCAGCAGCAGCACCACCACCAGCACCAGCACCGACTGGCGATGCCAAGAAGAAGGCATCTGGAGATAAAAAGGCCAAGGTGCAGGCCAAGGTGCAGAAGCGTGCGCTCGAGGACGACGACGCTGCCGACAACGGCAGTGATGGCGACCACGACCACGAGGAGGAGGAGCAGCAGCAGCAGCCGCTGAAGCAGAAGCAGGCGAAGCAATCGCATGCCAAGAAGGCCAAGACGGACGACGACGCCGACGAGCGCGAGGCGTCTGCATCGGCATCGGCATCCAACGGCAACGACAGCAGCAACAACGACGGCACGGACGGCGACGACAACGATGGCCAAGCCGAGCCGGCCGACCACTCACATCTGGACGTCTCCACGACAGCCAGCGGGCCGCTGGGCGACCGCTCGTTTGCAGCGCTGACGCTGTCGGAGCAGACGCGCAAGGGCATCAACGCCATGGGCTTCACGCAGATGACCGAGATCCAGGCGCGCACGATCCAGCCGGCGCTCACGGGCCGCGACATCCTCGGTGCGGCCAAGACGGGCTCGGGCAAGACGCTCGCCTTTCTGCTGCCCGCCGTCGAGCTGCTGCGCAAGCTCGAATTCAAACCACGCAACGGTGCGTTGTGCTGATCTGAAAATGTTCCCGCGGTTTCTTTTTCTTTTTTTTTTTTTCTTCCAGTCTTGTGCACTGCGCTTGGTGCTGACATGCTGCGTCTGCTGCTCGCTGTTGTGCCGTGATGCTGCCATGATGCTGCCGTGATGCTCTTGCGGCTTCTCTCGTCGTCGTCGTCGTCGTCGTCGTTGTCGTTGTCGGCTGTCCAGGCACGGGCGTGCTCATCATCTCGCCCACCCGCGAGCTCGCTCTCCAGATCTTTGGTGTCGCCAAGGAGCTCTGCCAGCACCACAGCCAGACGTTTGGTATTGTCATGGGCGGCGCCGCCCGCAAGGCCGAGGTCGAGAAGCTCATGAAGGGCGTCAACCTGCTCGTGGCGACGCCCGGCCGCCTCCTCGACCACCTGCAGAACACCAAGGGCTTTGTGTTCAAGAACCTGCAGATGCTCATCATCGACGAGGCGGACCGCATCCTCGAGGTTGGTTTCGAGGAGGAGATGCACAAGATTGTCGCTCTGCTGCCCAGTGGTGAGTCTTCCTTGCATGCATCCCATCCCATCGCATCGCATCCCATCCCATCCCACCCCTCTTTCCTCTCCCGCCGCAGGTTGACTTGCAGCGCTCCACGAACACCCGTCTGTGTGGAGTGCTGCGAGTGCGCGGCCGTGGTTGCGGCACTCGTGTCGTGGCTGCGGCAGCGTTCCCTCAAGGGCAACTGTGCCAGATCAAAGCCGCTTATCGTGTCTGTTTGAGGCGCTGCACCTGCACCACATGCAGCAGCGTTATAGGTATGACACGAACAGTCCCTTTCCCACCCCCTCTCTCCCCGCTTCCTTGACCCGCTTGTGCACATGCTGTGTAGATGCTGACTATGTCTGTCTTGTCGTGCTGCCCCCGGCTTCCATCTGAAGAGCGCCAGACGATGCTGTTCTCGGCAACCCAGACGACCAAGGTCGAGGATCTCGCGCGTGTGTCGCTCAAGAAGGCGCCGCTGTACATCAACGTGGACGAGCACAAGGACGTTGCCACGGCGGACGGTCTCGAGCAGGGCTACGTCGTGTGTCCCTCTGAGCAGCGGTTCCTGCTGCTGTTCACGTTCCTGAAGAAGAACCTCAAGAAGAAGGTCATTGTCTTTTTGTCGTCGTGCAACGCCGTCAAGTTTTACGCCGAGCTGCTGAACTATATCGATATTCCCGTTTTGGACCTGCATGTGAGTGGTGCGAGCGGCTGTCTGCCCTGCCGTTGCTGCTGTTGCTGTTGTCGGTTGGTGCACATGCTGACGCTGCCTGTTCTCCTCTCTTGCCACTCTCTCTCTCTCCCTCTCTCTCTCTTTTCGTTTCCGCGACGCAGGGCAAGCAAAAGCAGCAGAAGCGCACGAGCACGTTCTTTGAGTTTGTGAATGCCGAGTCGGGCATCATGCTGTGCACGGACGTGGCGGCGCGAGGCCTGGACATTCCGTCGGTGGACTGGATCATCCAGTTTGACCCGCCGGACGACCCGCGCGAGTACATCCACCGAGTGGGCCGCACGGCGCGAGCGGGCGGACGCGGCAAGGCGCTGCTGTTCCTGCTGCCGGGCGAGCTCGGGTTCCTGCGGTTCCTCAAGCAGGCCAAGGTGCCGCTCAACGAGTACCAGTTCCCGCCGAGCAAGATTGCCAACGTGCAGAGCCAGCTGGAGCGGCTCATTGAGAAGAACTACTACCTGAACAAGTCGGCCAAGGACGGGTACCGGTCGTACCTGCAGGCGTACGCGTCGCACTCGCTCAAGGGCATTTTCGACGTGAGCGTGCTGGATCTCGCCAAGGTTGCGCGCGGGTTCGGGTTCACGGTGCCGCCGTCTGTGCACCTTGTGATTGGCGCGTCGGGCAAGACGGACCGCAAGAAGAGCCAGCACAGCCGGCAGCAGCGCGAGGACCGCCGGGTTGGGGACGGCAAGGACTTTTACCGCCAGGGCCGCGGTGGTGGCGGCGGCAATGACAGCCGGCAGTGGTCTCGCTGAGCCGCACGCGGCGTCGAAATACATTGTTTTTTCAAAGCAGATGCCTTGAGGGTGGTGCGTGAGAGCGTGGATGTGGGCGAGTGGGAGTGTGGGCGAGTGGGAGTCGACGAGGGGGCATTGTGGAGTGGCCCTGGCGTGCACAAGTGGCGCAGCCATCGCAGCGGTGGATTTATGCAAGTCGCGTGGTCGGCACACGCGCCAGCAGCCGAGCCGAGCCGAGCCAAGCCGCGCCGAGCCAAGCACTTGACACGCGAGCGAGCAAGCTTTCCGGCTGCTTCTGCTTCTGCTTCATAAACCGGCTGCTCGCTCTCAGACAACTCTCAACTCCACTCAACCAACACTCAACCAACACTCAACTCAACTCACTCATGGCCGGACACACATTTGTGATTGCAGCCGCCGCCGCCGCCACCGCCGCGACCGCCGCCACCGCGGGCGCCCTGTGGACCAACAACGGCGGGCCGACCCGCCGGTCGTCGTTTACAGCGATCCCGTTTGGGCCCGACGCCGGCACCACCACCAGTGGCAGTAACGGCAACAACGCCAACAACAACGCCAACAACGCCAACAACAACAGCATCATCCAGCTGGTCAAGCAGGACGGCCAGACGGCGCTCAAGATGCGGCTGGTGCGTCGGTCGAGCGAGGCCGGCGGCGGGCAGCTCGGCGGGCAGCTCAGCCAGTTGGGCGGGCAGCTCAGCCAGCTCGGTGGCCAGCTCGGCCCGTCTGGTGCGCAGGGCCCCGTGCCGATGCCCAACGTCGGGCGGCTCGGCAGCCTGCAGACGGCGGCCATGGCAGCCAAGGCGCCTATCGGACCCATCGGGCCCATCGGGCTGCTCTCGCGGTCGCCGACGCACGGCAGCCTGCTGTCGCACCAGGACTCGTTTGCCA